TTCCCTTTTCCTTGTACAGAATTTGCCCCAATGAAAAACCTCTTAAACTTATTGTGTCTAAGCCCCTTGCGTCTGACAGTTATCACGGGGAGAGAGGGTAGATGGTTGATTTTTGAGTCTCTGAACTTTTTTGCACGCTCGGAAAGAAAAACCCGAATCTAAGTGTTAGATAGCATTTTTTAAATCCGTTTTTCCCCTTGTGAATTTCACGTTGGCCGTCCCTGAGGACGCTCCAGAGGCCAACACCTGCTCCCAAACAAGCCCCTTAGGTTCATTTCCCTTTCATGCCGCTTTCCATGAAAAGATTTGCCCTCGAACCGAAGCATTGATTGCAAACATTTTCTTGGCTGTGGACCCTGGGCCTGGCCCTTCTTCAGGGCTTTATCACTCCAGAAACAAGACTTTCCTGTTCTGCTGCGGCTGTTCCTTCCCCCCTCCTCCAGTCTTCCGTGGCTTTCCCAGAGGTTGGGTTCAGACCCTCTCACTCCCCACGCATGCACACACAAGCACACTAGACCGTTTGTTGCACTAGAAATTCGCGCTGCGGGCCCACTCGCCCAGATGTAAATAGTATCTGGCTGGTGAGTGGTCCCCCTAGTCCCTAACAGATATCTCCCATATTGACCCTGATGGGACCCGCGCTTGAGCGCAGCAAGGGCCACAAAGGTCAAGTATTCCCAAGGTGCACAGAATCCCAGCGAGAGGAGATATGGGCACTTTGGAGACAAGGGCTTAGTTGGCCTGGACTGGAGCTGGCAGCTTTAGCTATTTCTTTGGGCCAGCAACTCCAACCCGTTTCAGGAGCAGGAACCCACCTGTCCACGCTGTTTCCCAAGGGCCATTCCTGCCGGGAGCAATTTCCCTTCCCTTCCTCTTGCTTTCTAAGGTCTGTTCACACTTGGCTCAAGGGAGGGGAGGGACTGGGCCTCTAGTAGTCCACAAAGGAAACTGGTCCCCTCTGCCTATGGTTTTAGGAACCAGTCCAGTGAGGATGTCACCATGGCCAGTGATTGTGCTAACTTGTTTCTACTAAAGTGGCCCTTTCAAACTTGCCATTGGCTAAATGTAGGTTGTGGTCACCTGTAGTTGCCCCCACACATAGAGGTGGCTATATTGGGGACTAGCTTGTCTTGATGGCTCCCAGAGTGGTAGGACAGGAGACAGGAAACTGAGGACAATACGTTGTTCTAAAAGTGATGAGTCTCATCTCTTCCTGACTTGCTGCATGGCTCCCCAACCCTCTGACTCCATTTCTCCAGGTATGTAGAGTTTTGGATAGAAGTGATTCTGATTCTAGTGGGTCTGAAAGTTGGAAAAGTTGAGGGAGGGGTTGAGGATTTACAAGATCCATAGATAAACTTTTGAGATGCTCTGAAGTTGGCCAGGCAGAAAGAAGACCAATCAGGGCAGTTTCCCCATAACAATTTGGGTTTTGAAGAGAGGAACAGGGCCTAGCTGACCTTGGGAGAGGGTTGCCAGAGAATGACTTCACTTCTCTCCTAGAGCAATTGGATTGCAGCCATTAACACAGTACCTTTATCTGCAGATCAGTTTACTCTGAGGTTCCCTAAGGATAGTTTTATTAGGACCACAGGATTTTACCAACCAGTGGGGTAACACGCTGCTCCTGTAGCAATTATTTTGAGGTGTAGGTATTTATGGGACAGGTATATAATCCTATTTATTAAAATGACTAACTTAAAGGTATGTGTGTGTATCCATCTGCCACTACTCAGCAGCTCTGTAGGAAACAAACTTGAATTAGAATGAATTCCATTTCACATGCTTTGAAGTTGAGATTAGGAAGTTTAGGAAGTACATTTTAAAAGTATCTTGTCTATGCCTCCTCTCCCCTCTGCCAGCTGAACTGGCCTCTAATCTTAACCCAGAGCCAAGTGTGATTAGATTCATACCATTAGGACTGGTCCTGAGGTGACTCCAATAGGTTCTACTCAGAATCCCAAACCTTCAGTATCAATAGAAGAATTTTGTTTCTTCTCAGAGCTTGGACAAAGGTCTAAGCAAACTGGCATTTTAGAACAGGTGTAGCCTTAGAGGTGGGGCGGTGGGAGGGATCCACTCAGAGCTCAGAGAGTAGAGATAACATTGCACATTGAGGAGCTAACTAAGGCCCAGCTGGCTGCACTGTAGAGGGGAGTAACTCAGCCTCTCTCCCCAAATCTGCTTCTCTGGGGTGGGAATTCTGGAGTATAGATAGACATTCCCTTGCCTATATACAATTCAATTCTAAATTAAGGTAGGCTCTGAAACCTTATCCCGAGGGAGTGCATGCCAAACCTTTATTTCAGGAGCCAGCCTGGTCCCCTGCACCGGGAACTCAACCATCCCCCTCATAGACCTGGAAAGACCCAGCACCAAGGAAGACTGGCAACGTGCGGCCCTCTCCTCCCCTTTTCCTTCAATTCCCTGGGATAAACTAGCCCTAGGCGGCCGAATCTTCGGGGTTTCTTCATGCCTTTCTCTGAACTCAGGGAGACAACATTCTGATTTTCCCCGGTCCCAACCTCGACCCCGCGCCAGCGGTGGAGATCACTTACGTGGGCAGGGCCTGCAAGGCCAGCGCGAGAGACCCGGGGCTTGGGCTGCATCCGAGCGGCTGTGCTGGGCGCACAGCGTGGCACTCCAACACCCCAAAAAAGGCTTTAGGAAGGAGCAATTAAAACCACAAGTGCGACAGGGAAATCAAGACAGCCAAGAGGCTCCAGGAGTTGTCTAGTGGCAGAGTCATTAGCTGGTTGTTGCTACAAAGCCTCACCGTGTGGTTTGGTGATTAAGAGGGGAAAAAAATCTTTTAAGCGTTGGCAAACCCGTTATTGGTTTGGAGGAGGATTGGTTGTTTTTTTTTTTTTTTTTTTTTTTTTTTTTTTTTTTCTTTTTTTTTTCTTTTTTGCTCGCTGCCTGAAATATTTCTGCCCCCAGCACTGTGCCCTTAATTCNTAAGCGTTGGCAAACCCGTTATTGGTTTGGAGGATTTTTTTTTTTTTTTTTTTTTTTTTTTTTTTTTTTTTGCTTTTGTTTTTCTTTTTTGCTCCAACCACGCTGCCTGAAATATTTCTGCCCCCAGCACTGTGCCCTTAATTCAATGGAGAGGAATTCCGCGGGCTGGAGCTGCTGCTACAGAAGTTAAAAAGAGAGAGAAACCCCCTCTCTACTAATATCTGTAACGACAGCACCGATGTAATTTGTTTTGAAAGTTCATTTTTATTGGTGTTCCCTCTGCCAAAATGTGCTTGATTACAGAGGTTTGTCCTGTGATCATTGCACACTCCAGACAGGGGAAGGTGCGGTAGCGAAGGTTCAGCTCAGGCCAGATCAAATCCCCGGCTGTTTAACGCTAAAAGGCTGCATGTTGCTATTAGTGTTAAATATATGGCTAATTATGCGTATGAAAATTAAACATCAGTGTTATGCTAATGGGGAGCCTTCAGCTGCGGATCTGAGCACTTGAGACTACCATTTAATCAAATGAATCAGTAACTAATACATCTGCACGTGTGAACTTTCACAAGATCATTTCCCCGTTCCCGTCACACCGTTAAATTATGAAAGAAATAATTATCAACACTTTCTAATTACCTAACAAAGTAATTTGGGATTCACCGTAGGGCTGGCGAGATGGGGGACCAACAGTCCCTAGCAGCCAACATAGTGTGCGCCACGCCGCGTGGGGTGGCTGTGTGGTAGTAGTGGGGGCACGGGGGCCTTTTGTGCGCTTTTCTGTATCTAACATCCCAGAAGACCGAGGCACCCGTGGCAACTGTTGCCTTAACCAGCCCTGCTCCGAGACCCACTGATGTCCGTTTTGGCCACTGGAGTTAAAATAATGGGCGACAAAGAGAGATATGACTGCACAGATATTCAAGCCTTCCATAGGCCTGGTTCTGCTGCGGGTTTCGATGATGTCCTCCAAGGACTCCTAACCCCCGGGTATTCTCGCCAGACCCCGGGAAGCCAAAAAATGACCACCTGGCGCCCGCGGCTCGGGCAGAACTAAGCAGATCGGCCCCTCGGCTCCACGCAGCGCCGCGCCCTCTGGGCGAGTGAGCCCGGGGCGCACCGTTCAGAGGGAGTGGAGAGGGGAGGGGGAGGCGCTGGAAGGTTGGGAGGGAAAGAGGGTGTGTGTGTTGGGGGAAGGAGGCGGTGCGGCCGCTTTTCCTGGGAGGAGAAGCGCGGGTTCCTGGCTCTCCACGCGCACTGCTTTTATCAGACCGGTGCAGCCTGGAGCTGGAGTGACCAGCTGGGCCTGGAGCGATGCGAGCTGGCCCCTGGGAGCAGCGGCGGCAGCGGCGGCGAGGCAGCCGAGTGAGTTGGTCTGGAGGGCCCTCAAACCCCGACCCCAGGGATGTGGCAAAGCGGACCTGGGCCAGGGAGGCGCGGCCGGGAGGGCTCTGAACTAGGCACAGGACGATCAAGAAGATTGCAGTTCTGTTGGCTGCCTTGGTCGCCCCTCAGTGCGCGACTCCGCGATCCATAGGCTGCGACCAAACCCTAGAGCCGCCCTAAGCTCAGCACCCGACTGGGTAGCAGTGACGAGAAGCGGTCCTGAGTTCTCCGCGTTGGGGGCGGACGAAGAGTGGGGACAGTAGGGAAGCGGGCGACAGCGGGGAGCAGCTGGTTGGTTTCTGGGAAGAGAGCACGCAAGGGAGGTGGGAGGCTGAAGAGCTGCGGGCCTCCGAGGTCCCAGAGCGGACGCTGCAGCCTATTGTGCGACCCGCAACGCGCGCTCTGTTGCAGAGGAGCCCGGGCCGGGAAGTGTGGAACAGTCCCTCCAGAGGCCGGGCCGCCTTGCCGGCTCTAGTCCAGCGGAGCCCGAGCGACTCGGACCAATCCCCGGTGATTATGCAAGACAGCGGACCAATCAGCTCCGCCAGCTCATGAATATTTATGACCTTGGCTGAGTCAAAGCTTTGAACCGAGTTTGGGGAGCTCGGGAGCATCATGCTTAGACTTTTCAAAGAGACAAACTCCATTTTCTTATGAATGGAAAGTGAAAACCCTTGTTCCGCTTAAATTGGGTTCCTTCCTGTCCTGAGAAACATAGAGACCCCTAAAGGGAAGCAGAAGAGAGAGAGACCCACACCCAGACCCCGCGAGAAGAGATGACCATGACCACCATGCCAGAAAGTCTCAACAGCCCCGTGTCGGGCAAGGCGGTGTTTATGGAGTTTGGGCCGCCCAACCAGCAAATGTCTCCTTCTCCCATGTCCCACGGGCACTACTCCATGCACTGTTTACATTCGGCGGGCCATTCGCAGCCCGACGGTGCCTACAGCTCGGCCTCGTCCTTCTCCCGACCGCTGGGCTACCCCTACGTCAACTCGGTCAGCAGCCACGCGTCCAGTCCCTACATCAGTTCGGTGCAGTCCTACCCGGGCAGCGCCAGCCTCGCCCAGAGCCGCCTGGAGGACCCAGGTACGTGCGCTAGCCTGGGAGAGAAGGAAAGGAGAGAGGGAGAGAAAGGGAGGGGGAAGAGAGAGAGAGAGAGGGAAAATGAGAGGAGAGAGAGGGGCAGAGGGGGGGGGGGGGGGGGGGGGGAGGGCGCGGGAGCAGTAGAGGTTTCGGATATCAATCTGTGGATCCTTGTCATAGCAAAGAATTTTTTTTTTTTTTAAATCCGCCCAATTCGCAACCGTGTAGCAAAGGATAAATCCGAGAGCGTCTCCGGGCACTGGCTGGGCCTCTGAGCGGCTCGGTGCGCCGAGCACACAATGCCCTGCTGGAAAACAGAAACCCACATGTGCACGTATTAGTCTCTAATTATTTATTGCGTAGCGCTATAAACAATGTATGCAATTAAGGGTAATTAAACCTCAACTACCGCCTGCAAAAATAGCAAACTTCCCCTGCAAAGGCAATAGCTGCGCTCCTGGGAACGGCCCCATCCCGCCTGCAGCTGCCTGGGACCGGCCCTAGGATTTGGAGGACACTTCCCAGGCTTCAGTTTCTTGAACGTTTTCTTCCCTGGCCCAACCTCTGCTGTCCCCTCTGTAGCTACTCGCTCTCCTCTCTCCACACTAAAAGCGGCCCCTGCCTTAACAATAGTCCCCGCTTCTGCTGTCCCTCCAGGGGCCGACTCCGAGAAGAGCACGGTGGTGGAAGGCGGTGAAGTGCGCTTCAATGGCAAGGGGAAAAAGATCCGCAAACCCAGGACAATTTATTCCAGTTTGCAGTTGCAGGCTTTGAACCGGAGGTTCCAGCAAACTCAGTACTTAGCTCTGCCCGAGAGGGCGGAGCTCGCGGCCTCCTTGGGACTCACGCAGACTCAGGTACCTCGCTGCTGCCACTCCGTCAAGCAGGCTTCACGCTGCGGGCCTGAGCCCGGGGCTTCATTTCTAGCTCACTGGGCTTCAGGTTCGAGGTGTCAGTGTGTGTGAGTGTGTGTGTGTGTCCGTCTCTCCCTCCCTCACCCAGGGTCCCAGTCCCCTTCCACCTTCATTCTCTCTGCCCGAGCTCGGTCGCTGCTGTCTGTACACCGACTTTCCTGCCGCCTGGTCCTTAGACCCTGGACAATCTGATTAGGGAGCAGGAAGGATTGCCCCAGACGTTTTGTTTGGGGATTCTGAGGTCACACGTGCCCGAACAACTGGAACAATAGACACAGGACTTAATCCCTCCTTTGCCTTTAAAGTGTATAGCTAATCACTGCAGCGTGGGCCTTCGCCTTGGTCTCCCTCTTCACCCTGTGGCACTGGGGATCCTTTCCCCTGCCCTTTCACCTCCCAAGACCCAAACTCTAGAGAGGAAACGAGACTTTCCTTTTGGGATTTCTCTAAGACTCCGGGGAGTTCTGGGCGGTTCTGCCCGCGACTGGCGCGGGTTTCCAACGTCCGGCCCGGGATTTGGATTGGAGTTGACCCTTGGGAAACAGACCCCTGGGAAAGGTTGGTTTCAATCCAAAGAAAAGTTCAGCAAAACTTTGTGGCCTCCTCATTCAGTCCCCAACTCACTCAAGGGCAAAAAGGACGGCGCAAAGAGAAGGCGGTCGATTTACAAATAAATTTTCTCCACTCCTATCTAGGTTTTTTAAAATTTCTTTATTGATATTGATATTAGAATTGCGAAGTGTTGTGCAGGTGTTGGTTATCCAAAGTTGCCAAGGTCGGACTGGGCCACTGGCAGGCAAAGGCCTTGATTCCCTGCGGGCCCCTTACCACCACGCCCCCCTGGCTCTCAAAGAGCTGCTCAGGACGGTGGCCAGCGCCGGTCGTCCAGCTTTGTAGTATTTGGCTTTTACCGAGGGAGGGACGTCTCCGCTCCCGCAGCAGGGAGGTGCCAGCCTTCGCAGGGCAACGGGGGCTCCTATCTCTGCTCTCCTGTAGTTCACTTCTCTCCTCCTAGGTAGACCTAGGTAGACTCAGTGATCCCATCACGAGTCATGTTGTTGTCCGATCTTGCAGGTCAAGATCTGGTTCCAGAACAAGCGCTCCAAGTTCAAGAAGCTGATGAAGCAGGGCGGGGCGGCTCTGGAGGGTAGCGCGCTAGCCAACGG